GCTCCAAAAGAATCAATGAGCAGCATCAGAGACAGGTAGGCAGTGGGGTTCCCCCCTGCCCAAAGGGGTTTTTTTCCACTGAGATCTGTCTGAGAGTAATGTTTGTGCTGAGGAGTTTGGATGTGGGGAATCCTCTCTGGGTGTAGGTTTTTTTCCAAGGAAATTCGTGACAAGGAGGAGGTCAGAATTCCGGAGTGGATCATGTAAAAGGCTGTCCACAACAGTCCCTGTCTGCCCTGCTCAGGGTGATGTAAGCTGTACTCAGTAATAACATTTCCGAGAGGCGGATAGCAGCGTTTTAGTTCAGCTCTAATAATTCTGTTAAATCAGAGCTGGGGTTGTAATTGCTGTTTGTGACTGAGTTTGTTCCATATGTGTGTTATGCAGGATGCCATTGTAATGAAATGTTCCCTCTTTGAGCTGTATGCCCTAAAGAATATGCCTTTGTTGTGTGGCAGGCAAAAACAATCATCTGCTCCTTGCCTCTGCTGTGCCTTATAACCAAAGGAAAGGAAAAAAAAAAGTCACGTTTCGCCTTGTTTCAATTTCATTTGGAAATTTTAAGTTGTGTAGGTGTTAGTCTTCATTTGCTTTAGTAGCACACAGCCTTGCTGGAGTCCTGCTCATTGCTTTTAATGAAAAAGCCTGCGAGCCTGTGTGTGTCTGAGGGTTTACATGCGTTAGAGCACACAGATATGAGTGTAAGTGAGAACAGGGAGTGAGAGAGCAGGAAAAGCCTCTGCCAGGGAGTCAGACGTGGTGCTCTGAAGCAGCATTTTAAATTTTATTCTAACTGTGAGAAATAGACCTTAGAGATGCAAAATCTCTAGAGAAATACTTTATTAAAAGATAGCGTGTTCCATGCCATCAGATCAGGTAGGTGGGTGGTTGCTTTGCTTTGGAAGTAGTGCCGTGTTGTGAGACTCCTTCGTAATCAAATCTGGCTTCTGTACAGCGCTTTTCATTCAGAGACCGCCCCGTGCTTCGCAGGCAGAGTAGCTCCCTTTACAAACCGGGACGCCGAGGCACATGGAGGGGACGCAGCCGCGCGGCTGGCCTGCTCTGCGGCCGGTCGAGTGATGGCGATGGCTGCGATCTTAACGCAGCTACCAGCACGCCCCAGCGAGATTCAACGCGTGCTAGCTGGGTAGGACACCTGGGTGTGGAAAACTGTCAGACAGAGACTAATTCCACCCAAAGCGGGAGCTGTAAAAGAGGGAAAGTGCGGTCTGGAGCCCAAGGACATGAGTATGCTGGGCTGTGCTGCCTCGCCTTGATCGCGACGCTGATCTGCTGCTCTTGCTCCATCTGACTTCTTTTAGGTCTCAGGTGCTGCCTCTGGGTCCGGGGTTTCGGCTCCCTGATGGCTGCAGCCCGTGGAACATCTTGTGTGTTCCCCCAGGGAAATACAACACCGAAAGGCAGCTTTGCTCTGGTGTGGTCTCTCGTGGGGAAGCAGGGAGAGCGAAGTGAGTAACGCCTGTAGACAGCAGGTACAAGATAGCCAGCAAACTGTCCCCGCCTCATTTGCACAGCAGATTTAGCTCAGAGATTTCTGTTTTATTGTGTGTTTGGGGTTCTGCAGCAGCTCCGTGCCTCTACCCTGGCCCCACAGGGCAGCCCCACAAGGGGGAACGTGCCAGGCTGGTGCAGCCAGGAAGGGCTCAGAGGAACCTCGTAGGGCTTCAAAGAGAGTCCCTTTCTGTCTGAAATGGCAGGGTTTGTTCGTTTGGGTGTTGATTGGCAATAAAAATCCCAAAAGTCTGAAATGAAATTAAAATCAGTCCATTTACACTTATTTTTCAAGGAATTAGGCCATTTTTAGTTGTCTCACTGTAGGGCAGAGGGAAACACCCAGCTTCAGCCTACTAAAATGGAACACCTGGAATAAGTTCCAGGGGCTCCTTCTTAGCCCATGAGACAGGCATCTCCATCAGCAGCTCAGCTCAGCTCAGCTCAGCTCATGGCTGAACCCCTCTTGGCAGGGCAAATCCCTCTCCACTAACCACGGAAGGACTCCCAGCAGCGAGGTGGGAGCACGCAGGTGGAGGTTGGAAGGAAAACAGCCCCAGTGGAGAATGAAACAGGGGTGTGTTCTGGTCCTGGCATAGCCCATCTGTGCTTCCACTGCTCTGCAGCCTAGTCTACTTACTCTTGAGCTTCTTTAGCTCTGCTGTGGCTACCAGGCATGTAGATTTTGGTAAGGTGCAAGGGAGCATTCACTTCCAATGTGAAACTTCTCAGTCAAGAAGTGATGATGAAACAGTCTGTTTGAATAACAGCTCCTGAGCTTGGCCCACCAGCAGTCCCCAAGGCGCTTCTAGAAGTAAAAGCCAGGTACCAGCGTTTTTACACTGCAAGGCCAAGAGAAACGATCACAAGTGAGCAGGAATAAAAAAACGTATAAAACAAATGTAGCATCTTATAATGTATCTGTAAAAAGGGAAAACTCGTGCTGCTTGAAGTCTAAAAATTAAAGTTTCTCATGGGAAAACATAACTCCTGCTCAAATGCTAATGGATCGTTATCACAGGAATGTTTTAGTTTAACTACTATGTACTATAAGAAGGAGCAGAGCAGGGTTCAGAGAGCAAATGGCTGATGAACGTTCTTCAATCTGCCAGTAAATGTTTGCTTTTTTTTTTTAATATACTCCCCCTTCTTGATCTCTGTCTTAAAGAGAATCTCCAAAGGGACATATAAAAGACAGCTGATTTCAGCTGGAGGTAATAGCACATATTTGTGTGTTTCTTTTATCCTTGTTTAAAATAGTAAATTTATGGCACTGGTAGAGCGCCAGTCACCAGAGGTACCTGGCCCTGAGAGCATAGAAATTGATGGTATATGAGCAAAAATTGGCTTTACAGGAAAGAAAAAGTGACACACATTTTAGAAAAGTGATAGAAAGAAAGAAGGGCAATTGGGCATTGCAGCCACAAACTGTCTCTGCAGCCTTCTCAAGACAAAAACAAACATCTCATGAAGCAAGAATAGCTTTGAGGGACTCAGAGGCAAAGGTCTGACACCCTTTTCCAGGAACACAGCAGCCAGAGCCTGCAAGAGCAAGGTAGCAAGAAGGGAGAAAGAGCACATGATCTTTCCTGGGGAAGAAGAAAATCCTTCTTGCTTTCTTCTGGAAACTCTCTTCCCAGCCAATTTATAGGCGGGATGCCTCCACGTTTGAAGGTTTTTGCTACCATTTTGCACTGCTGTAACAGTAAGAAGAAAACTGGCTTGTTGCTAACACTCCCACACCTGCAGAAACACTTTATGTGTGTTTTGAGAAGTTTACAGGGAGCACTTGACTGACCTTGACCAGAAAAAACAAGTGAGGGAAGCGAGTGGGATGCTTTTTCCATTAGATAGGAATAAACTTTTGTCAGAAGTCTCAGCATCTTCGACTTGCCATACGTGATTCTCCTCTGAGGCTCTTCAACATGTTCATGTGATGGCAAAGTCTGTGCCAGGCTCTCCTGGCCAGACAGCTGCTGGTGTCCTCCCGAATGGGCGGTGGGGTTTGGAGCCTGCTCAGATCCATTGCAGGGTGGAACAGGGGGACCTTCTGGGACAGTTACACCTTAGAGGAGGGTGCTTACCCTCAGCCCACTTGTATGCAAGGTGGACTGTGATGACAGAGTAACGGCCTGCAAAATCAGTAGTAGCTGCCGGGATAACGGGGTGAGAATGACTGGCTGAAAATGAAAGAGGAAAACTTTGCAAACTGATGAGATTTCAAAGTTTCTGTTCTTACTAGTTTTCACAGTGTTTCCAGAGAGCCTGAAATTCTGTGAGAACAAACAGCATTTGGTCTTAGTGTTTGAAAAACAGTAAAGGGCTGTAGCATCTGTCAGAGGCAGTGTAAGCCAGCCAGAACATGGCCCCAGGCTGCATTTCCACCTGGATCCCTGATGCCTGTTTGGGCCTCCCCATAGCGTCCTGACTCAGCTCTCCTGCTCGAGTGCCGTGCGCTGGACCATCTGCCGTGCTGGCCTTCCAGCCACCATGGCTCAGAAGAACGGTGCTGCATCGCGGGCTTGTGCAGGAAGGCGTGGAGAAGATGGAGGCTTAACAGGGAGGGAGCTGCATTGCTGGCCCCTGAGGCTGCCTTACTTCCCTCCCCCCACACCTACTTTATCTTTGCCTCTTTCTAAAATAAAAGGAATAGAAAAATTAACAACATGAAAAAGGGAGGAGACGATAAAGAGTATCTGAAAAATTATCTATGTCCTCATTTCAGAGCTTTGCACGGTAACAGGGAGGCAGAAGGCCTTTTTCGTTATTAATATACTAACATATTAAAAAGCTGGGTGTCTCCTGAACCTACTCTGTTGTCGTGGACTGAGAAAGCTCCTGGGAAGCATTCTGCAGAAGGCTATTGCACTTGAGAAACTGTACAGGGATGGCATTCAAGGATCGAAGCTAAAAGACAAAGTTTGCTACGATACTGTTAATGGGGACTTGGGTCCAGCCTGGACAAGAGTGATAGCTGCACCTTTGCTTTTGTGCTGAGACAAACTCTCTACCAACAAGACGTGAACACTGTCAGGAGTCTGGTTGGAATTGGGAAGAATCAAAGCCACACCTCTTCTGATTTCCTTTAGCTCCTTAGTCTTGAAGGTTTGAGTGAGACCTGTTCCTAGTGGGTGCTGCTCCTAGCAAACCTGAATCCGAGCCAGTGATGACCGAATTTCCTGGAGACTGCGGTGTTTGATTTGGCACCTTCATGGTTCCCCTATCAGAATCTGTTCATTCCTTGTCACTTATCAAAAGATGCAGTTGTTCTGCTTTGTAAATCTTTGCCAATAAAGCAATAATACTTTGATACTGCTGTAGCTGTTGTGTTCTGCTATGCTCTCTGTTTGCCATTAATGATGTAACCATGTGGTGGGGCCTTGATCCTCATATATGAGGGTGACAATGGGGCTGTATAACATATATGTTTCTATATATATGCACATTCACAGCGAATAAAAATTTCTTTGTTTTCTTTTCCTTGGCAGGCCACTATGGAAAGGATATTTATCGAAGTGGAGGGCCAGATCTCCATAATTTCATCTCCTCCGGGTTTGTCACATTAGGAAGAGGACACACGAAGGGTACAGTGGAAACAATTTTTTGCTAAATAAAAAGATTGTTTTAAATAAAAAAGCTATAACTCAGAAGCTGGGTTCTAAGTGCTATGAGATAACAGTATTGGACTGCAGTAAGTAGATTTAGTGTAGCAAACATTGCTGCAGGTAAAATACTGTGCTCCTGGCAGAACCTTTTAAATCCTAGCAAGGGAGATGGTGGGAGAGCGTCGAGTCGGACAGCCAGACTCCAGACTCCGCTCTGACTTTGCAGTTCAACAATTTATACTGCTTTGTGTTTTCCTGGGTGCATGGTTGCAAACCACCTTTGTGCTGCTGTATTTATAAAGGGAAGGGGAAGGAGTGTGTTGCTGTCCAAGGGCAGGCAGTTCACGCTTCAAGAGGGCGTGTCTGGATTTCTTTTGTTTGACTTCTGGCCTTTTTTTGGGGGGTATTATGAATATTTTATAAAATTATTTATTTTTAGGTCCTAAAACGTATATTTTATGTGTTCATATAATCTGTGATATAATGTACAAACATGAAAACACAAAAATATAGATATACTGCTCTGTGTATGTTCTGTGTATATGTACTGTATATAAAATATATGTGGAGAGACAGTTGTAGTTATATTAGATAAGCAACCGTATATCCCAGGAGTTGTGGTGACACAAAAGCTGACTCAAAGTAGCTGGTCACCAGAACCCCAGATGAATGTTCCTTTTATGACGTTGTTGCATATTCGGTGAGTTTTTATAGTGTACAGTGAGACTGTGTTTGGAGCATCTTTCTGTTCACACCCACACCCTGACCGAGTCACGCTGGTGCACTGGCAGTGGGTTGCTACACTGGGAGTGCAAGCATGTGCCGTGCCAGTATGCGTCTGGTTTTGTGTCCTGCTGACTTCTGAGACTGTTGTACATTTATATAGACACAATGTATGTGGAGATGCCTATATAGACACAATGTACTGTATGTGGAGATGTGTCCATGTGCTCGCCTGGTTGAATGCACCTGTGTTGTTTCTGTGGATGACCACGACTCACAAATTATTAAAAGACCTTTATTTTTTCGTACATTTCCTGCACTTTTTCAAATCCTCCACAAGTGTCATCCAAAGCAGTGTTGGTCCTGTAGAACTGTCAGAGAAGAAACAAATATATGTATATTGTCTGTGTATGTCTGTGTGTGCTTAAATAAAGTTTACTGAGGCTGAGGCAGCACCCGTGGGACTTGTAATACAATACCCTGCAATTCCAGCCTGGCACTGCACCGGTGGAAGGAAAGCAGAGAAAACCACCATGAACCTTCAGGTGGGCTGGGAACTGAAATGGTTCAAGGAAGGACTTGGATGACATTTCACACAAGGTGTCCCTTTCCTCTCCCCAACCAAAAGGAGTTTTACAGTCATGTCATATCACATCAGACCTGACAGTATATTTAGGGTGAGATGGCAAGTGTACCCCAGTGGAGGCGTGATCTGTGGAGCGGTGTGTCCTGATAGCCTTCATCAAGCACATGGCAGAGCCATAAAACCTGCCTCTGTCTCAGACATCTGAATTATCTTCAAGCCATTTTCTGTACAATATACTTTCCCCAGTTCCTTCCCAGATAAGGATAAAACCTGCTTTCCTTCTTTAACTGAAAAGTCTCAGGGGCTCTATTCTTCTGTAAATGGGCCAGTGGATTTCACACCTCTTCCACTGGCTTTGCTGGAAGCCCCACAGAACACATTTCCTATCCCTGCGAAGGTGGGAGAATGGGCAATGCGAGCCCAGACTGTTCATACACCCCCTCTTCCAACAGACATCAGATAGGGTGGTGCTTTCCAAAGTCAATAAAAGGCCTTTATTACTTGAAGCAATTCAACTGTATCTTGGCTGTTTATGGACATAAAAGGATGGATTTGCCTTTGAATTTACTTTTCAGCTATCTGTAAGCTGACATTTTATTTGAACAGTACCGTAACGTTAGCTTGTAACTTCTTAATGGTAAATTCACACGCCCACTCATGACTGGGGCAAGTGATTACCATCTCCACACATTCTGCAGGCAAACTGCCTTGTTTGCTTGTGCAAATGTGTAGATTGTCTTTGTCTGCTACATGATTTGATTGCCTATTTGTGCTGTGAAAGCAGAGACTTTCAATGTAACAAATAATTTAGGGGCCCTATTGTTAGGATTGTGCCCTATATCACTGGAGTATTTCTGGAAATATTACACAATAGATTTCCTGTCTTCAGTCTGAACTGGCAATCCAGCTGTATGTGTAGACAGGAGAGATGAGTGCTCCAGCAAGGGTTATAGTCCCAAGCTTTAGCTGAGCAGCTTCACGCTCAGATGTTGTCCTGTTTCAGTTCCAGTGCCTGTGTTAAAATCTCCACCTCAACTACCATTAGCCAAATAATCTCGCCCTGCCTTGTTGTTACACCACCATGAAGAGGGTTCTGATTTTAGACTGAACAAAGCCAATGAAGTTTATCTCAATATTTCTTTGCACTGGGAGACACATTTTTGGTGTTTTCTCAACTGTCTTCTCTGCTGTGGCAGAACTCCAAGTGCTGAGTAATATTTAAGAGCTAATCTATTTTGGGCAGAAGACAAAGATGTGAGACGTGCCAAACTACCATGGATACCAAATCAGCATATTCACATGTCTGACATCCGCCAGCTCCTGCGAGATTGTGATTTATGATTCTTATGTGACACGCCATTGGGCAATGCATCACTGCCTGGCATTTAAGTCTATAAAATCACTACACAGTGCGTTCTTCAAAGCATGGTAAAAGACTTCACTGTCAGTCTGTCATGGCGATCTAGGAATGAATCCTAGAGTCTTTAGGCCATAGAAAGTCTCCATGGTGAGACATACGAGAGGGCTAATCTCATCTAACCTTAGGTATCTAGAAGTTAGGCATTTTGTTCTGAGGTAGTAGTCTTCAGTTCTGTGTAGAGACACCTGGGAGACACTGGCACCTCTAAATGAACGTTCACTGGATGGGCTCTGGGCACCTCTTACCGGCCTCTAGCAAGAGGGTGGCTGTGGGGGGCTCGGTCTTTTAGCCATCAGAGGAAGGCACATGAATCCCACCTGCACTTGTGTAGGAGTAGCTAGTGTTGCTCCAGTTGTGGTGGCAGTTGCTATGAGAGCTCAGTGCTCCGGTGAAACAAATAGGAGCACTGAAGACAGGAGCTACTGCACTCCTCTGTGCACTATCCTAATTTAAAAAAAAAAGCTTCTTCAACCTATTCTCTCTCCGAGCATCTTGCTACTCTCAGATGACCCAGGCTGAGACTACCCTAATGTGGACCATACTCACTATCCTGCCAGGGCTCTGCAGAGCTCTGCTCAGTCATACAAGCGGGTGTAGCAACCTACACAGCTGCAACACAACACAGTGCAAGCACCCACGTGGATGTTCAACCACGGTGAGTGAACGAGTCTTGAAGGGTGGCAAATTCAGATTAACTACTCCAGGTCATGATTGTTGAGTTTTCGGGTAAAAATGTGATTTTTATTTTATTTTTTTTGCTACAAGCCTCAGACACTGAAAATAGTTCCTGAATGGAATTGGGCTCCATGTTTCATTGGTCTGTGACAGCAGTAGAAATTCTGTAGAGCAGGTGATAAGCTCACTTCATCACTGAACAACTGCTTTGTCTGCCTGGTAACTCTGCAACAGTATTAAAAATAGTGAGTTTTTTGCTGGAAATGCATATTTTCCCAGTTGAGCTGAGTGCTAGGGGTCAGGGAACAGTAAGGCAGACTTTTTGTAAGATCCGCTGGTTCCTTGTAAGTTTATGCCAGAACCTTGAGAAGGTGCAGAGTTAAGGCTGCCACTTGAAAAGTACGTGTGGAAAACTCAGGAACAGTCACGTGTCGTCACAGCCTGCCCAGTAACACTTTCAGAAATGAAACCTCTCACTTTTGATTCAAGGCTGCAAATCTTTACTGTTCCTGGAGTTACTGGGAGATATGCCCTGAGTTAGGGCATCTGCAGGGGTCTCTTTTCTTCAAGGATCCCACTAAGATTTGCACCTATGATGTTTTCCAGCAGTGCCACTGGCAGGAAAAAGAAAATGAACCATGTCTCCAAGTCAGTGTGATGTGGCTGTTGAAGCCTGACTGTGTTGCTGCTGGCATCTCTTTGGAGCTGCACCAGCGTCCTGCAGTGTGGGCAATGTGGAAACAGTGTTGGTGTAGGAAGCCAGCCTGGTGCTTGAGCAATAAAAGCTACCCACAGTCACCTTTTATCTTGTGATATTTGGTGCAGATATGGCAAGATTTACAGCCTGAACATGGGATTTGCCTGCCTGGGCCTTTGTTCTCACTGTTCTGCAGCATCATTGTATGTCATGCATCTGTAAAGTGGCTCAGGGCACTCTTTTGATGATACAGCCCTTGATGTGAGGTATAGCTATCCAGCCTGAGGTGGTTTTGGTTG